TTTATTTATTTTTATTTATTACATTTATTCATTGTGTGTGTGTGTGGCCAGCTCAGCCCACCAGGGGGCGGGGCTGGCTGGCATGTGGTGCTGGGGATCGAACCGTGGTCCCTGTGCTTTACCAAGCTTGTTTCAAGTAGGTGCTTTAGACCACTGAGCCATCTCTCCAGCCCCTGAGGTGAATAGTTTTGTGGTGAATAGTTTTTGTGGTGAATAGTTCCAGTTGAATGAATAGTTTTGGTTTGAAAGAGAGAAACATGTGGGTACCAGGTTCCAGTAGTTTTGTGGCCTTGTGTCCCTCTACAGGGTTAACGGAATGGAATCAGGTGTCTCCCATCAATTTGGGTGAAGGCCACAGCATATGCCCAAGCGTCAGTGGTTCCTAGATCTGGCTTTTGGTAGTTTTGAGGCCATCTGTTTCCTGAACTGTTCCCCCAGGCAAAAGCAGACAATTTGGTATTAGTCAATAGTTCTGGAAGCTAGAAATCTAAATTTAAGGTATACTCCTTCTGAGATTCTAGTTAAACTTTCCTTCTTCTCCTTAGCTCTGGTAGTAGCTGTTAATTTTTGGCATTCCTGGGCTTGTAGTTACATCATTCCAATCTCTACCTCTGTCAGCACATGACATTTTCTGTCTTTCCAGTAGATTGTAGACTTCAGGGTGGCTCCTGTATATGGTGCTACTAACTCAGAAGTCTAGAAGACTGCCTTTATCTTCCTTTATCTACAGTTGATAGTGTCCACAGTTAGTCTGTTTGTGGGAGAGCCTTTTTAGTTATGTGTACATATAAACGTAAGTATCCACTTCTTCAATGCTTTGATTCTATTGCACTTTCTCCATGTAGTATATATATATATATATATATATATATATATATATATATATATAGTTATAATTTCAAGACTGGGACTGGAGTAAGGAAAGAAAAGTACCCAAAACATGAAATTTATTTATTTATTTTTGTTCTGTTTTGTTTTTTGGTGGAACTGGGGATTGAACTCAGGCCTTTGTGCTTGTCAGGCAAGTGCTTATTCTGCTGAGCTATCTCCCAGCCCTAAAACATGAAATTTAGAGAAGTACTTCCAGTAAAAAATATGTAACACCACCCTGAATTAATGACTCTGAAAGTGACTACCTTTTTAAATTTTATGCTGGGGGTGCCTCTGTTGCCTTACTTTGATTCTTGCTCTATGACCCTTATCCCAATGATTACAAGACATCTGTATAACTCATCCCTTAAAAATGAACCTAACTGGGGCCAGGGAGATATCTCAGTAGAACAAGTGCTTGCCTGGCAAGCACAAGGTCCTGAGTTAAATCCCCAGTACTACCAAAAACAAAACAACAACAACAAAAAGAAAATGAACCTAACTGCATAAAAATACATGAAATAAAATAAAAAAACAGACTAGACATGGTGGCCTACACCTAAATCCCAGCACTGGGGAGGCTGAAAACAGGAGGATCTCTTGGAGTCCAAGCTATGTAGTGAAACCCTGTTCTGAATACATAAAAATGAATAAAATAAACTTAAACACTTTCACTGAAACACATTTTGTTGTTACTTCATCTAAGGAAACAAAGGTGATGCATTATATCACCAGAATCAGTGCCAAAGCAGAAACAGTTCAAGAGCCCAAAGTTTATCCATATATGACAGCTAGAATTATGGACCATGTAATCTTGGTTACCCATAGTAAGTCACTATTATACTTCCTTTCTCTCTCTCTTTTTTAAATCATGACATGGCTTGTCATTCAGAAGTTCCTTCTAGTAGAATTCCTCTTATGATTTACATTTTTAGTAATCTCCACTACTACTTTGACTGATACTGTGTTGTGTGAAACCACCTGACTGGCCAACAGTTAGTTACAGTATGGATGTATTTTTTTTTCTGTTTCATAAACTGTAAACGGGGCTACGTGTCAGACTCATTGAGAAGGACAGCCATCAGTGAACATGGAGTAATTTTCCTACAAGCTAAAATATCCTGAGCCAAAAAACACTGCCTTTTACTCCCTCTGTTTCTCTTACTAGACAGTTTTCTCATCCTCTTAGAAATTTGTCTTCAAAATAGCTTGAAATGTTGGCGTTCAGGACCCTTCATAGAGCAGTAGTCTCTGTTGTTCTTTTTTTAAAAAATGTTTTCATTCTTTGTTTTTAGATGCCAACGAGAGTAGGTGCCAGCAGGGAAAGACACAATTTGGAGTTGGCCTGAGATCTGGGGGAGAAAATCACCTCTGGCTTCTTAAAGGAACCCCTTCTCTCCAGTCATGTTGGGCTGCCTGCTGCCTGGACTCTGCCTGCCATGCCCTTTGGTGGCTAGAAGGGATGTGTATTCAGGCCAACTGCAGCAACCCCCAGAGCTGCCGGCCTTTTAGGACAGACTCTTCCAGTTCCATGCTTGTATTTGTAAAAAAATCCCAAACGGCATATGATTTGGGCTTTCTGCCCGAAGATGATGTACCACATTTTCTGGGACTAGGTTGGAGCAGGGCGTCTTGGAGAAGGCAGAGCCCACCCAGAGCTCCACTGAGAACTGTTCCTTCCAATGACCAGCAGCGCTTAATCAGGAAGCTTCAGAAGAGAGAGAGTCTCAGTGAAGTTGTTCCATTCGTAATGACACAACAGGCTAAAGTGAATGAATCCAAGGAAGTAGGTGTTCTGAATACCAGTGGCTCTGCAGAGGTAAGCATGTTATGAATAGGAAACAGAGAAACTTAAATCTGTTCTTTTATCTTGACATATGAAGAATGAGACTGATGCTGTGGTAGTGCTCACATATGCATAAAGTTACCTCTTTGGTGGTGCTGCCCACATGTAGAAGGATGAGTTGACCTTAGAAATGTTAACTTTGTGCTGCCTGACCATTGTTTTGGTAAAAGCAGAAGCTGCTCATTATCTAGTCTAAGCTGGTTCTTGGCTACAGGTAAGTGCAGTTGTGTGGGTGTTAGTCTCCACCAACAGTTCTGAGGTGTTTCTGCCAGGTTGCAAAACAGTTAATTGATGTGGCTGCAGTGAAGTTTTCTTCCTCCATCTCTTGCCTGTAAACATAGTCCTTAGGAGGTGGTTTCTATTCCAGTTGGAATTAACTGTGCCTGGTATTGCAGACTAAGATCTCACCCGGGATGGGAAGCTGGATGTGGTCGTTGGCTAAGAGGGCTCTGGGGTGAATTCTCACTGAGTTGCATGTGCTAGAAGACATACCACCAATGCAGTTTATTCTTCTTATGATTCTTATTTGTTGATCTTTCTGGGCAAATGATTAAAAGGAATGACTCATTCTATATTTAGTCTCCCTTGATTACAGTGATTTATTTTTGTATTTGTTTTTTCCTAGTTGTCTCTATCAAGTTAAAGCCAAGGTGGGAAGGCTACTACACGCCAGGTGCTGTGTGTGCTAATTGTTGTACTATGTTATTTTGTTTAATTTTCATAGCAATATTTCCAAGTGGGTATTATTAGCCCTGTTTACTAATGAGGAAACTGAGGCTCAAAAATGTTAAACAACTTGCCTATGATCATGCAGCTAATAAATAATACAGCTAGAATTAGAATCTTGTTTTAATACTAAGAAAAAAAAATTCAGGGCAGAATTAGAGATTGTTAGTTTTAGGTTTAATATGCCCACCAACATTCATGGAAACCTACTATCAATATCAGGTGCTTTTCTAAGCACTAGAAGTTCAAAGATGAAGAAGATTCAGTCCATGCCTTTAGGGAGTTTACAACCTAGTGGGGACTAAAGCTAGGTATTTACAATAGTGTGTCTATTGTACTAACAATAATTATTGTCATTTATATATGCAATATAGCAACACAGAAAGCAAGTTAGTCACTTGAATAGGCAGGTACTGAGTATGTGCATGTAGACTTGACAGAGAAGGCCAACATCTCTTTATTTATTTATTTATTTATTTATTTTTTGTGGTACTGGGGATTGAACTCAGGCCCTTGCACTTGCCAGGCAAGTGCTTATTCTACTGAGCTATCTCTCTGGCCCCAAGATCTCTTGAAGGATATATAAAATTAACATTAGAGGGCTGGTGAGATGGCTCAGTGGTCTAAAGCACCTACTTAGAACAAGCTTAGCAAAGCACAGGGACCGCGGTTCAATCCTCCAGCACCACATGC